TCTTTTGCTTTCAGCCAAGATCCATCTGACATCAACAGTGGTATCCCTCATCTCACATTCTCTTCTGAACCCAGTTTACATTTCTGGAAGTTCTCTGTCAGTATACCTCTGTGACCATTTTTGAATTATCTTCAGTAAGATTTTACTTGTATGTGATAATAATGATATTGTTTGATAATTTCCATATTCTGTTGGATCTCTTCCAGTCATCTGGCCAGGTAGCTGTCTTCCAAATCTCCTGGCAGAGCCGAGTGAGTGCCTCTAGTGCAGCATCCATTTATTGAAACATCTCAATGGGTGTCCCATCAGTTCCTGGAGCCTTGTTTTTTGCCACTTCCCTCAGTGCAGCTTCAACTTTTTCCTTCAGTACCATTGGTTCTTGATCATATGCAACCTCCTGAAATGGATGAACATCAACCAATCCTTTTTGGTACAATGACTCTGTGTATTCCTTCCATCTTCTTTTGAGGTTTACTGCATCATTACATATATATTGCCCATAGAATCTTTGGATACTGCAACTCGAGGCTTAAATTTTTCCTTCAATTCTTTCAGCTTGAGAAATGCCAAGTGTGTTCTTCTCTTTTGGTTTTCTAACTCCAGGACTTTGCACACATTTCATTATCATAATTGACTTTGTCTTCTCAAGCTGCTTTTTGAAATCTTCTGTTCAGCTCTTTTATCTTGTCATTTCTTTCATTTTGTCTAGCTATTTTCCATTCAAGAACAAGAACAAGTTTCAGAAGTCTCTTCTGATACCCATTTTGGTTTTTTCTTTCTTTCCTATCTTTTTAATGACCTTTTGCTTTGTTCATGCATGATATCCTTAATGTCATCCCACAATTCATCTGGTTTTTGGTCATTGATGTTCAATGCCTTAAATATAGTCTTCAGATGGTCTCCAAATTCAGGTGGGATGTAATCAAGGTCATAGTCTTTTAATTGTCTTCAGCTTCAACTTGAATTTGCATGTGAGCAGTTGATGATTTGTTTTACAGTCAGCTCCTGGCCTTGTATTGGCTGAAGATATTGAGCTTCTCCCTGCCTCTTTCCACAGATGTAGTCAATCTGATTACTGTGTATTCCATTTGGTGAACTCCATATGTATAGCTGCTGTTTACATTGTTGAAAAAGATTTTTGGAATGAGCAAGTCATTGGTCTTGCAAAATTCTATCATGTGATTTCTGACATCCTTTCTATCACCAAGTCCATATTTAACAACTACTGGTAATTCTTCTTTGTTTCCAGTTTTACACTCCAATCACCAGTGATAATCAACATATCTTGATTGCATATTTAGTCAATTTCAGAGTGCAGAAGTTGGTAAAAATCTTCAATATTCTCATCTTTGGCTTTGGTGGTTGGTGGGTAAATTTGAATAGTAGTAGTAGTAACTGGTCTTCCTTGTACATGTATGGATATTATCCTATCAGGGACAACATGTACTTCAGGATAGATCTTGAAATATTTTTGTGGCAATGAATGCCACACCATTCCTCTTCTATTTGTCATTCCCAGGATGTGGATCATAGGGTTGTTTGATTCAAAATGGTCGAAACCAGTCCATTTCAGCTCACTAATACCAAGGATATCAATTTTCACGTATTCCATTTCATTTTTGACAACTTTCAATTTTCCTAGATTCATACTTCATGCAGTCCTCATTCCTATTATTAGTGGTTGTTTTCTGCTGTTTCTTCCCATTTTGAGTCGGGCCACATCAGCAAATGGAGGTCCCGAAAGCTTTACTCCATCCACATCATTAAAGTCGAGTCTACTTCAAGAAGGCAGCTCTTCCCCAGTGTATTTTGAGTGCCTTCGGACCTGAGGGGTTCATCTTCCAGCACTACATTGGACAATGTTTCAGGGGTATTCATAAAGTTTTCCAGTACTGCATCAGACAGTGTTTCACTGCTGTTCGTAAGGTTTTTACTGGCCCATTCTTTGAGAAGTAGATGGCTCCTTCTTTCTTCTGAGTCTGTCCTAGTCTGAAAGCTCTGCTGAAATCTGTTTAGCACGAGTGACCCTGCTTGTATGTGAAATACTGTGAGCCTGCAGCCTCACAGCAACGTGCAAGCCACCACAGTGTGACAAACTGACAGACAAGTGATCTTAGGAGAAAGTGCTCAAGTATTTAGAATTGAAGGGCCTTGATGACTGCAACTAAATCAAATACTTCAGAGAAAGAAAAAAAAAGACTATAAATATGAAGTGATAAAGCAAATACAGCAAAATGTTAATGAATCTAGCTGAAGGGTATGTAGATTTTCAATGCACTAATTTTTAAAAGATTTTTTTTAGATATAATTCACATTACATATAATTTATCCTTTTTAAAGGGTACAATTCATTGTCTTTAGTATGTTCACAAGGTTGTGGAACCAGCACTATATTAAATTCCAGAACATTTTCATCACCCCCAAAACAAATCTCATACCTGTTAATTACTCTGCATCCTGTTTCTTCCAATCCCCTGATCTATTTTCTGTCTTCATGAATTTGCTTATTCTGGACATTTCATGTAAGTGAAATGAAACATATAGGTTTTGGATGTCACTTCTTTCACTTAGCATAATATTGTCAAGGCTCATTGACATTGTAGCATATAAAACAAATGAAACTCACTGCCGTTGAGTTGGACCCAACTTATAGTGACCCCTCCTTGGGTTTCCAAGGCGGTGTTGTTGTTGTTATTTGCTGTTGAGTCGGCCCCGTAGTGACCCCTCTTTGGGTTTCCGAGGCAGTATCACTATAGAAGTAGATTGCCCAAACTTCCTTCTGAGGAGTGGCTTGGTGGTTTTGAATCACCAGCCTTCTGGTTAGCTGTCAAGTGCCTTAGGCACTATGCTACCAGAGCTCCTTGTGGGGATGGGCTAATGGAAGTAGCAGTCAAGATATCAAAAGACGTACAGCGCTAAGAAAATTGGCTGCAAAAGACCTCTTTCAAGTGCTGAAGAGCAAAGATATCTCCTTGAGGACTAAGGTATGCCTGACACAAGCCATGGTATTTTCAATTGCCTCATATGCATGTGAGAGCTGGACAATGAATAAGGAAGACCAAAGAAGAGTCAATGCTTTTGAGTTGTGGTGCTGGCAAAGAATGCTGAAAGCACCATGGACTGCTGAAAGAATGAACAAATCTGTCTTGGAGAAAGTGCAGCCGGAATGCTCCTTGGAAGCGAGAATGGCCAGACTTCATCTAACCTACTTTGGTCATGTTGTAAGAAGGGACCATTCCTCGGAGAAGGGTATCATGCTTGGTAAAGTGGTCAACAAAAGAGGGGAAGCCCCCAACAAGATGGATTGGATTGACACAGTGGCTACAACAATGGGCTCAGGTATAGCAGGGATCATGGAGCTGGCACAGGACTGGGCAGTGTTTCGTTCTGCTGTACATAGGTTTGGTATGAGTCAAGATGACTCAACGGCACCTAATGACAACATACATAAAGAGAGAGAGAGAGATTAAAAAAAAATTTTTTTTAATCTGTCTATCTACCCTTGACAGTGGTAGAATTCACACTTTCCACGTGGAAGACCCAGGTTCAATTCCCTGCCGGTGCATCTTATGTGTAGCCTCTACCCCAGTTTGTGTGTTAGTTACTGTGACACAGAACAGGTTTCAGTGGAGCTTCTAGACCAATGCAGCCTAGGAAGAAAGCACGGCAATCTTTCCAATCTGAGGAGATGGCACAGAATTAGCATTTCGTTTTGTTGTGCGTAGGATTGCCATGAGTTGGGAACCAACTCAGTCACAGCTAACAACAGCAACAATGGCAGTTGTGGTTTAAATGCTTAGATGGTATTATTATATCTGTATAGATGGTATCATGATAAAAGTCTCAGATATATATCTGTTATCACAGTCCTTCTGTCGCAGGTGTTACATTCAGTTGTGACTCTGGCTCTGAGACACTTTCACTGGTGGTACTGGAAATTGACAGAGAGATTGGAAAGAACTGGGTTGGAGCTGATTCTATTTCCTACAGAACCTGTGAATTAAATCACTTCCCATATTCCTCCACATACATTCCACGTACATTGCAAAGTATGTTGTGTCAGAAAACACTTCTGGCATTGTTGGGTGGGACTGAATTATGCTTAGTAGTAAATTTCCCCACCACCTCTATCAGGAAACCCCTGAGAAACCTGCAATGTTATCCATGTTGGGCAATGTAGGATGCATAGGAGACCCTTTGTGACTCTGTTCAACAGCAAATGAGGGACAATGGGACTTCTGATGCCTTGATGTACTGCAGGTAAACTGCCCCATTGTTTCATCATGAGGAGCTTTCAAATAAATCACCCAGAAAAGTTGTTATTTAAAGCAAACTCTTCTGGTCTTGCTGAAAGATGGATCCAGCATGTTTTTCCCTAAAGATTAAGTAAAGTAAGTTGCTACGTATTTTATTGTGTGAATTGCAGCAATTCAGTAGAGTGGTGTCAAAAGCAAGAGCTTTGGAGCAAGTAAAACCAAACCCAAACTCACTGCCGTCGAGTTGGATTCGACTCATAGTGACCCCCTCCTTGGGTGCCATCGAGTCGGCCCGACTCATAGCGACCCCTCCTTGGGTTTCCGAGGCAGTATCACTACGGAAGTAGGATTGCCCAACCTTCCTTCCGAGGAGTGGCTGGTGGGTTTGAACCACCAGCCTTCTGGTTAGCAGTCAAGTGCTTTAGCCACTATGCTACCAGAACTAATAGCTTCACCTTAAGGAACAGACAACCGCACCTCTTTGAACCGAAGGCACAAGTTTCAGTGAGGACTCCAACCGCCACAGGCAAAAAACACAAGACTCACAAAACTCCCCTACAGGCCTCGGGGCGGGACTGACCAGGCCGCGCAGCCCCAGTGCGGGATGCCAGGTCTCGCCCCTGACGTCATACGGAACCCCACACAGGACGACGAGCGACGGGAGCGCGCGAGGCTCTGTCACGCAGGCGCGCTCGCGCGTCGTAGGTGGTGCTAAGGGACGCCGCGGGGGGGTTGTAGGGAGACGGCGCTACCGCCATTTTGTGGGGTGTTTGTCGCAGAGACTGGAGAGCGAAGGAGGTGTTTTGGCGACATTTCTCTCCCAAAGGGTCTTTTTGCCTTTGCAGAGGTAAGCTATAGGGTGGAATATGGTTGGCTGGGAGACTCTTAGGTCTTGAAGCTAGTATCGGAGAAACGACTGGGTTCGGGGCCTCGGCGCTTGTTGACTGAGTTGAGGGTTCCTAAGGGGTTAGTTTTAAGGCTGATGGCCTTAAAAACGTAAATTTGCTCAGGCGTCGTGGTGGATGTAAAATCCTTCGGGGGGAAAAAATCTGTAGTTCTGGATTGACCCTCATCTGGGAGGCCCAGCTTCGCGCTCCACTGCTCCAGAGGCGCTGGCCTTGCCCCAGTGGTGGGGCGAACGGGCCAGGATCTTGTCAGGATCGCCTCCGCCGCCGAGAACGAGGACCTGCTGGATGTGGGGACCCAACAGCCCGGGAGACTCTTCGAGAATCCTATCTGATGTTTGTGTTGTCGGAGATGTAGTTTTCCCCTGGATTCTGGGCTTCTACCGTTGGCTTCTCGCGTTTGGGGCTTTCCCAGAGTCACTATTTCCCAAGATCTTGTGTGTGAGCTCTGGTGGCAGTTCAAACTCACCAGCTCCTCCGCAGAAGGAAGATGGGGCAGTCTATTTCGGTAAAGATTGACCGCTTCGGAAACCCAGTGGGGATCGCTATGAGTCGGAATGGACTGGATGACCGTGAGTTTTTGGTTTTGGTGTGTGCGCCAAAGCCCCTGGTGAGGGTGCCTGGAATGGGGCCTGCGCGTCCGAAGAGCTGCCGGTACAGAAAACCCCTTGCCATGGAGTCGATTCCGACTTATAGAGACTCTATAAAAACCAAACTCATTGCCATCCAGTCGGTTCCGACTCATAGTTAACCTTTATTGGGTTTCTGAGGCGGTAAGTCTTTACGGAAGTAGATTACCCTGTATTCTTTCCGCGGATCGGCTGGTGTATTTGAACCATTTAACCTTCTGGTTAGTAGTCAAATGCTGTAGGCACTGCGCCACCAGAGCTCCTTTTAGCAGCTCTATCGGACCGGGTATAAACCGTAAGTACTAAATCTTTATGGAAGCAGACTGCCACATCATTCTCCCGCGGATCAGGGGCTGGTGGGTTGGAATCGCCAGCCTTTTGGTTTAGCAGCCGAACACTGAACCACTGCCAAAAGGGCACCTCCAGTAAGTCCAGGTGATGGAGTTTAGTTTATGCTTAAGAGTTTGAACTTTGGGGAGGTTCGTCCTTTGTGCGGGGTGTTTTCTAAGGTGGAGCATGCCGTTCTTGCAGCGAATCCGTATTTCTGACAGTTTTGCATATTATCCATGATTACTTAAGTAGCTCAGGTATGCTTATCCGATCCTTAGGAAACAACTGACAGGGCCGACCACTGGCCTTTGTTGATAGCCTTCTCTGTTACTGTGCGTCGCATCCTCAGGCTTCTTGTTACTCATAAAACTGCATGCAGTCCTCTTGGAGCCATCTGGTCAAAAGGTCTATTCTGATGTTCTTAAGCCATGTACGTTGTATTAAGTCGTCAGGTATCTTAAGATCTTAAAAAGCCCAGAGGAGAATCAGGTTTCTAATACGATGTGTGTGTGTGTGTGTGTGTGTGTGTTTATTGGAAAATAGATGAGGATTCTAGCATGTGGGGGTCTTTAATAATTAAAGGCAATTTAATAATTCTAGGTAGTTTTTTTTTTTCTTTTTTGGGGTATGTGAATGAACCCTCTCTGTAGAATGTGGGTTCTGGAATCTGCTTCCTGAGAATGTATTTCTGAGCCTTAGGGTGAGACATTCTAATAGTAACTGAATTAAATTTAAAGTAATGAACTTGCTGGAGAAATACAGATCTTGCTCTCACAGGGAGCTCATTCATACTTCAGTATTTGCATGTAAATACTTCAGTATTTACACTGAATCCTGTGAGAGCACAGTTTTCCACCTTTGACAGGGTGCAGTCTTACCTCTGAGTTTTCCTTCTGATATGTTTCTGCCTTTCAGCGTACAGCTTTCGCAGATTTTACTGTTATAACTGATTATTTGAGAATTCTGCCTTGTTAGGTGAGCTTGTTGTGGCGAATTGAGGGGGGGGAAATTAAAGCAGCCAAATGTTTGGCAAAAACTGCACAATAATGGCTGGCTATCATAATAACGTTCAGTCATCAAATGTAATTTTGCTTCCTGTTATTTAAGAATGTTGAGAAGCTATTTTGAAGAGTTCCTAATGTGTTTAAATTACAATTTTGGTAGTTGAAGGAAAGGGTCAGAAAAATTTCACTAGAAATAGAAATTTCTCTTAAGGCTCCTTTGAAGAAAGTTTGTTTTTTGGCTTTTTGCCTCAGGTAACTTGTAATGACCTTCATTTCAATTTCCCAAAAATTTCCACCAAAATTGTATGCCGTACATGGAGCCCTGATGGTACAATAGTTAGGTGCTCGGCTGCTAATTGAAAAGTGGTGGTTTGAACACATCAGCCATTTCCCAGGAGTTCTGCTGTATCCCATGGGTTAGCTGTGAATTGGAATGAACTCTGTGGCACCTAACAACAAATTCTATTCTTACTTCACTTTTTAGTGAAGACCCTGACGAGTGTTTAGGACTCTGTTTGACCTGATCAGTGCCTTCTCTTCCTTTTCTTAAACAAGCTAAAATAGAAGCAGCCTTATTAGAAGAATGCTTGTTAGTCATAGAATTAGAATCAACTTCAGGCTCTGGTGACATGGTACATACAATTTTTTAGGGAATACTTTGCAGAAGACTTGAACCTACATCACTTCAAAGTCTTATTTTAATCCACTTGAAAGCACTGAAATTTTCACTTGGGATTGTTTGATTGTTACTAAGTCATTTGGGCAAGCTGAATGAGATTTTGCTTTGTTTTAGCTTTTTCCAATTCTTTCATGTTCTGAAATTCTTCCTTTTTCACCTTTTAAACTCACACTCTTGTTTAACAGTTTGGACATCACTGTTAAAAATTTAACTGCTTTGGAAAAGAGTTAAGATGAGAGCAGATAAGGATGACATTGATACTGAACCTAGAAATGAGTCTATGTACTGGAGGTTGTAGATGGAGTCAGGGAATTGTTACTGTCATCCTTCTGATTTCCCCATGACCACCCACCAGCCACTCCTAGGAAGGAAGATGGAGCAATCTACTTCCATAGTGATACTGCCTCGGAAACCCAGGGAGGGGTCGCTGTGAGTCAGGTCAGACTCGACGCACATAACAACAACAGCATACTTCACTGTATAGCCTCCTAGGTTTGTTTCTTTTACAGAGCACTCCAGAGCCATAACACATAGATTTAAGACTAACTGCATTATGATCTGAAAATAAACTTGTTGGGTATAGAAAGTGAGTTCATTACATTGTATATTTTTATTGCCCTTCATTTTCTCTATTGATTGCTATTCCTTTCACTTCCTTTGTTAGTTCAAAGCTTAAAGTCATTCTGAGATTTAGAGAAGAGGACTCTACAAAGAGTTTGAGAAAAAGCTTTATTAATAGCTTTAAAACAAAATATATCCCTGAATGTTTTCTCTGACTTCAGTTACTTTTACTACAAATATATTTGCCAAAGCTGGGTGACACTTGTCATTATTAGTTACCTTTAAGTCAGCTTACATTTTAACCTAACAGTTTAAAAAAAAATCATACTAGTGACTTACGAAATCAGTAATCAGTTGCCATAAATAAGAAGATAACTATAAAAATAAAAGTTACTTATTTCTAGCTAGGTACTGTTGTCTACTGAAGGCTCTTAGCCCAAACCTCGTCCCACTCCCCTTTTTAAATTTGTCCTGATTTGGGTGGAAATTTAGAGCGCAATTTCCTTTTCCCTACAATAGTTCATGCACATTTTGTTTCAAGACATTGATTTCAATCCCCGTAATGTAACATGTAACAGCTCTCTTCCCACTTCCTCCCTGTGGTTACCTTTTCCCTGTGTCCTTCTTTCCTATGAATTCCTGCCCTCTGAGCTATTTTCTCTGTGCAAATGCTGCTCTTCTGATCTCCCATGATTGTTCTAAGGAGTGTACCTACCTGGTGTTAAATGTTCACCTTATATACCCATCTTTTTGGCTAGAAGCCACAGGAGTGAGTTCAGTTTCAGGCCTGAAGGGTGATTATAGGCCATAGTCTTGGATTTCAGGAATCTCTATGAGAGCAGTAAGCCTGGTCTTTTTTAAGATTTTAAGTTTTGTTCCACATTTTTCTCCCACTCTATCCAGAATCTCCTATAACTGATCCCTTTCCAAGTGGTTTACAGTCTCAACCCCTGGCCCTTTTTTAAAGGACAGTGAGCAAGTTTACTTGAAGATAAACATCAAACCTAGGCTTTGTCCTGGGTGTAATTAGAAGGATTGAAAGAACATGTACAGGTTTCCTCATTATTCAAAATAGGAATAGCATTCCTATTCTGTTAGCTGAAATGGTGTGAAGCAAAGGAGCAAATACCATTAATTTAGGAAAAGTTTTTGCACATTCCCAGACCCAAAAAATAACCTACCAAGTCATACTAAATAACATAAAACCTAAAATAATGCTAACCTGTATAGCTCACAGACACAGTTCAAAGCTGTGGTAGCTTGACATTGAGATGCTAAGTGTAGTTCCTGGAAAAGGAGCATGGCGAGGCAACCCTTGTCTGCTGGGGCTGCATGTTGTTAAGGGCTGGCTAAAAAACATGCTGAATGCTAGTTTCGCTTTTTGCCTTTTTTCATAAAAAGCAAAAATCCTCTTCAAATTTCTTTCAGTTAATGAAAGGTATTAATGTAGGTCTTTTGTAAAAGTGAAGTGGCATATGGTGAATTTTCAAAAAGCGGGAGATACCTGTAGTAAGGTCTCACAGCATTGTTGTTATGTGCCATCAAGTCAGACCCGACTCATAGCGACCCCTCCTTGTGTTTCTGAGGCAGTATCACTGTCAAAGTAGATTGCCCCATCTTCCTTGCGAGGAGTGGCTGGTGGGTTTGAACTGCCAGCCTTCTGGTTAGCAGTCAAGGGCCTTAGGCACTATGCTACCAGAGCTCCCCACAGCATTGATATCTGTCATTTAGTACTAGATCTGTATGCTACTTACAGTCATCTTGTGAAACATGACTTGAGAAACATTACCTAAAAAGATTTTAGATAAGGGACACTGCTTTTCTGTTAAGAGGGATGGAAAATTTTGGAAATGGATAGTTGTGATGTTGCACCACATGACGAATTAATGTCACTAAATTGTACAGGTGAAGAATGTTGAAATGGCAAATGTTTTGTTACATTTATATTTACCATAATTAGAAAAAAGATTTTAGAATCTATGTATTGGGTGTTTATATTTAAATAATATTAATGTATAATATTTTATTAAATATAGCCATCTACACTATAATCTCCACAACTCCCTTTTTGTTTCTGTTAACAGATGCGGCATTCCAAACGCACTCGCTGCCCTGATTGGGATAGTGGAGAAAGCTGGGGCCATGAAAGCTACAGTGGAAGTCACAAACGGAAGAGGAGGTCTCACAGTAGCACACAAGAGAACAGGCATTGTAAACCGCATTCTCAATTTAAAGAATCTGATGGGTAAATTACTCTTGAATTAGTAACATTTTAACTCCCAATAGTTTTTCTTAGTGATTTGTCATTTACATATATAGCGTTCATTTGTCAAATTGTTTGATGATTTGAGTAGAACAGATACTTAAAAAAATTGAGTGCCTATGTTGGGATAGACACTTTACAAATACTGAGGCTACAGCTGTGAATAAAACAAAATTCCTATCCTCGTATATCTGTGTCTATCTAGTAGTAGTTGGAGACATTAAGTGCATATAAAACATTGAGTTCTCAGTTTGTACAACGTGTTGTAAGAAATTGCCAAAAATTACTTCTACGATTAGGCTGCCAGTAACATGGTTAGGGAGGAGAGACACACAAAAAGTCAATAGTGACGATAGAGCACCCAGTCAGCGCCTTTAATGTGTATATTGGGTATGAAGGAGAGAAATAAGTATATTGGTGTGCTCACTTCATGTTTCATGAATATGATATGACCCGGGAGAGGAGTTATTTCAAAGAGAAAAGCAGCATGCTTCATTAGAGAATGCTAAAATATGTTAGGGATTAGTCACTTACATAGTGTTCTACAGGTTGTATTTGAAGATGAAGGCAGTGGATATGTTTGGGATTTTTAGAACCTTCATTGTAAGAAGAATCATTCCTTTGTACAGGCAGTATCCAGTAATTTAGGAAAGGGTGTCTCAAAATTTCCAATAGCATTTGTCCTGTTTTATTGTATTTGTACCAGTATAACATTTGGAGATAACATACTTAAATAGAATTAAGGAAATTTTAGAGTTCTGAAATGATTAAAGTAAGATTAGGTGAGTAGTTTCATTCTTAGTTAATATTCTCTGTTCTTAGTTAATATCTCTTTCTCATTTGTTTTGTGGTTCTATGTTTTCTCCTTGTTTTGTGCAGATGTTCCATTGGGACTGTTTGCCAGATTGCTTTCTAAATTAGCCAGCTGGGGTTACTTTAAAAAACAGTATGTAGTTGTTTTTCTTCTCCATGCTAAACAGATTTGTTCTGCAGAACTGTGGGCTTGTAGTCAATGCAGGCTAATTATTCTTCATCACACTGTTATATAGGGGTAGGGTTTATGATAAGATTTTAATTATCAGAGTGAATTAATACACAGTAGCATATAGAAAAATATCTGTATCCAATTATTAATAAATGTAAAATACTCTCTAAGGCTTAATATAATAGTACTAATCCATATATGTTTATTATACATTGTTTGAGTGATGAACAGGTCATTCATGTTCCTAATTGGACAGACATTCTGAGTCAGTCCCAGCTCAATACCTCCTTCTTTGATATTAGCCCAGAGATGTTGGAGGACAATTGCATTCTATAATATGGAATCTTAATTGACTTTTTGAAGATTTAAAAACTTTACAAAGAATGTTTTTATCATAAAATGAAAAATGTGGAAAAGTATGTAAAGATAACCTTAGTGGGATACTAGTCTTACTATTATTTGGATGTAAACTTATTTCTGATTTTATGTTCTTAAAATATCTTTGTATATACATATTTGCCTCTGATTATTTCCCAAAAATAGATGCTAAGAAAGGAGCTCTGGTAGCATAGTGCCTAAGGCACTTGACTGCTAACCAGAAAGCTGGTGGTTCAAACCCACCAGCTACTCCTTGGAAGGAAGTTTGGGCAATCTACTTCCATAGCGATACTGCCTCAGAAACCCAAGGAGGGTCACTTTGAGTCAGGTCTGACTCAACAGCACATAACAACAACAACAGATGCTAAGAAGGGACATTTTCAAATTGAAGTGTTCAAAGACTTTTAAGGTTTTTGCTACATACTTACTTTTTCCCCTTAAAAAATGTGTACCAAGTTTACTCCTATAACATAATCCTTCATACTCTCACCAGTATTGGCTGTTTTGCAAAGCCAACCATAATGTTTTGTTTTAATTTAAAAATTTAAATTTCTCATGAATATGTCTGCTTATATGCTTATTAACTTGGATTTTTTATATTCTTAAGTTTTTTTTCTTATTATAAGAGAACTTTTGTTATTTTTACCCTTTATTATATATATTGCAGAGTACCTTTTCTTTTTGATTTGTCTTTTGGCAGTAGTCTGTGAATTGGTGTCCTTTCTCACAGACTTTATCAATCAGTTCTACAAATATCACCTTTATATCTTGTGATCACAATCTTTAAATACCTTCTTGTAACATAAAACATCAACTCTTAAACTAATGATTCTCAAACATTCATGTGAAAAAAACACCTCGAAAGTACATTTGAAATTCAGAGTGCCAGATTTAGATTCAGTGAATCTGATCTAGGGCCCAAGATATAATAAGAATTTCATATTCTGATATAGTTAATAAGCAGACCACCCTTTGAAAAACAATGTTTTAAATTTAGCCTGGCATGCAGAGCCTTTTACAATATGCCCTAGCTTATTTATTTGCCTATACTGCAAATTGAGTGAAAACTGCTCTTGCAGGAATTGTCTCCTTGCTGTCTCCTGAAGAATGCATAGACAAATCCATCTCCAAGTCATTGTGACTAAAGTGCTATCTAAATTGGACATGATAATTACACTGTCGCCTGGAATTTCTTCTACTTTCCACTTTGTTCAAGTCCTGGCTTTCCTTTAAGACCTAACTCTGTTTCCATCTTTTCATAAGTCTTCCCTGACACTTAAGCAGATTGAAGTACTTCCCTTGTATGGCCCTAGGCAGTTTTATGTGACCTTTCAGTGTTTGCTACATTGTTGAGTTTTGTTTTATTTTTATGTGAGTAATCTCATACTGCTCATTATTTGTTGACAGGACTTTGCCTTATGTCATTTTTTTCTCCCATAGGACCTGTGTAGAAATGAATACAAATGATCATGCCTTTATGGATCTTGGCTGTTTTTGAAGGCCACAGTGAATATTCACTGGACATTCAGTCAATATTTTTAAAAATGAAATCAGTTTGTTCATCTCATCAACTCTATCCTTAACCTTTATAATTCTAAAGACTTTGCTTATATAATCCTATCTTGTATAATTTCTGAGTCATTAAAGATTGAAGAGCTCATCTTTTTAATCCTCACAATGTTCCTTCGCCCTCTGTTTTGTTATTCTATTGTTTATGGATTATCAGTAGCTCTAATTTCATGTAATATTCCACTTTAAGAGTAGCATTAGTTTTTTTCTGGCAGGAAGATTTTGGACTTTTATGGGGAGGATGCCTTATAGAATTGCACAGGGATGCCCTGTTACTTCTAGCTTGATGTATTGTAGATATCTCCCTGAGCTAGATCCCAATCTTACCCTAATATCCCGAGTTGTTTCTCCAATGAATAGAACTAAGGTTGACACTGCCAAAAGGAAAAAGGTGCCTGTATTTGTTGCTAACTCTGTTGGGTGGCAATTTTAGAGATGCTTCTTTATTTTTCCATAAATTGGCCCCCAGGAAAAAAGAATGATGGCATATAATGGGGAAAGGAAAGGGGTTGGTGAGGGCAACATCTGTCACTCCATTGCTTGTCAGGATTATTTTAGCCGATTTGTCTGACTGGGCAGGTGTCCCCTTTCTCCCTCAGTGCTCCAAGTGCGTCCCTCTTGAAGCTTCGCACTCTGTTGAAGAGGACTCTCATCCCAGGTAGAGAGGGGGACGGGAAATTGGGCCAATTGAATCTATGTCCATTTCTTTCCATCAGATAAAGACTACTTAACTGGGACCCATTGACCTCTCACATTCTTTACCAAGTTTTATTTATGCATCTGTGCTTTTCTTAGAGAGGGTTTGTTGCTTTTATCAGATTCTCAGGGATCTGTAGATTCAGATAAAGTCGAGCACTGTGGCACTAGATGATGCTATGCTATCTTCCATGTACAGCTCTTGTTTATTTCTCCAGCAGGAATGATAAGAGATTTGAAATGCAAAGGGAAGTAGGGTAGTGGTACTATTGTAATACTAGCAAGTAATACAGGAATGCTTTCTCATTTGAGGGGATTAGATGTCCTTGGCACATGAAGCCATCCTCAAAAACTATGTTGGTTATTTCTCAACCAAAAATAATGGGAGACTGGAAATGCAAAAAGAGGAGGAGACAGGATAGGTGAGGTGTGTAATAAAATTGGCATGTATAATAGGAGTTAAAAAACATCTCAGTTTTTGTCCCTAATGTGCTCCACAACCATGGCAAATCATTTTCCTTCTTGAGATATAATTTAGTCATCTGTAAAATGAAAGGGCTGGAATACATTTGAGGTTCATTCCATCTTTAATAACCTTTCATGAAAGCATTCTCTATGTGCCAGGGATACCTAAACTGCTCTTAAATTAATAGCAAAAGAAATCCTATTTGGCCTGCCTCGATTATGTGTGGCTCTGTGAGAGAGAAGAGAAAGCTTAGTTACAGATGCATATATCATAAGACTGATGAATTTCAGAAGAGCAATTTTGTGAGTTTTTTGTTTTAACTTTTCCAGAAGGTAAAGGAACACTTAAGTAAACACTGAACATCATAAGTGAATGATTTGACTCAAGCTTTGTTCCTTGGTGTGAAATACTTGACTGCAGTCTAGATAATAGAGAATTATGGACCTATTTGCCTCTTGGTTAAAATTTTTTCTTAGTTACGTAAGAAAAATACATGATCTAATTCATCAATTTGAATTGTTTTTATCGAGTTAGCTTTTAAATCAAGAATTCTTGAGAGAATGTTTTGTTTGAACCACATTGTTTAGAATGAAGAGAATAATTTGATATCCTTTAATGTGTTTGCAGTCGTCATTTAGAAGCAAGGTCTTTGAATGAGAGAGATTATCGGGACCGAAGGTACATTGATGAATACAGAAATGAATACTGTGAAGGATATGTTCCTAGGCATTATCACAGAGACATTGAAAGCAGTTACCGAATGCACTGCAGTAAATCTTCAGGCCACAGCAGGAGAAGCAGTCCTAAAAGGAAGCGTAATAGACACTGCTCAAGTCATCAGTCACATTCGGTATGATTGATTTTGTTTTTATTTTGGGTGGATTCTTAATTTGTGTGTAAAAGCTCTTAGTGAGCCAATAGGTTGGAAAAGTTTCTTTATATATGCGGTACTATTTGGATATATTGTAATTGTTTCCTTTAAGGATTCAAATAAATTAAATACAAATTCTTAACAGCGAATCTGTATTTATTAGGTAGCCCTCATTTGCCCACATTTACTAATTTCTGAGACCAGATCATGAGTTTTATTTTAATAATAAATTATTTTTGTATTTTGTAATACAATCTTAGGAAAGAATGAAGCACCCATCTTCTCTTTCATGTGAAGTATTCTTTTACTTTGAAAACAACCCCTTTGCTAATACTTGGAAACAAATATGGAAAAATTACACTAGGGGATACTTAAATGTTGTTAACCTGTTGGTAGCATAGTTCTGTAGCACGTTAGTTCAGTTTAAATTTTAAAAGTGGGTGCTACGTGGGAAATATTGTATCCAAAAAGCCCCTGCCCATTATTATACTCACACATCTTCACCCATTTGATCAGTAAACTTTGAATTACTGTTTTTCTCCCCATTGTTCTTCAGTAGGACTAGTTTTCATTAGGTAAAACATGGAAATTAGCTTTTATTTTCTCCTTCTATGTTAGTCATGCATATTTTAAAATATTGCTAAATAAGACCAATTTCAGCTAATCTTGACATTTTAAAACATTTTTTTGGACAAACTAGACATCGCAACTCACAGCATATTCTGTTTATAGCAAAAGATTAGTAAATCATGACAGTGCAGTCTTTAAATTTCAGACTTCAATTAAATCAGTATTTTAAAGAGACAATTGTGTTGTTTTTTTCTATTGCCACTTTAAGTATCTTATCTGAAAATCTGTTCCTTGCCATGTTTTTCTTCTGTAACATAAACTGTGCCCTGTGAATTTCTGGGGACTGAATTTGAAATTGCTCCTGCCAACTGTTCGTGGCCTGGTGCTTATCTGAATGCCTGAATATCTCCCCGCTGAATGAATTGCGTATTCTGCCCTGAATTCACTCTGATATATTGATTGGCTGGACGATCTTGGTGCTGCCCACTTGCCGTTCCAGAAGAGCCACCGAAGGAAAAGATCCAGGAGTATAGAGGATGATGAGGAGGGTCACCTGATCTGTCAAAGTGGAGACGTTCTAAGAGCAAGATGTATAGAATATTTTTCAACACTTTTTAAACTTTGCAGACAGATTATCTTTTTTAAGACTAGTTTGTCAGCGGGGGGCTAAAGAACTCTTCGTTTTTTTGTTTTGTTTTGTTTTTTGTGGGTTTATTTGTTCTTTTGTATTTCTTCTTTTCTATAGAATTTAAATATTTCTACTCTAAATTTTCAAAATAATCAGTGGAATTTGAGATTAGAGCAAGAAAGATAGCTCTGTCTAATTGTTTTTATAGCAGCTGAAAATAAAATAATTTGAGTGCTGAAATCTTAGTTATGCTTTGATAGAGATCATTTGAAAATATTCCACATTTAAGCATTCATTGTTTGAATAACTTAATGAATTGTACTCAGATACTTAACCCTTCTTTTATTCCCCTCCCTTTAGATGAAATCGTGGCTACTTTGGGTGAAGGGGCTTTTGGCAAAGTTGTAGAGTGCATTGATCATGGCATGTAAGTTTTTGTTTTTTCTTTTTTGAACATTCTGATACTTTTTTTGGGGAAGGATCCATAATTTAGATGAAATTGTATTTTATGTGGTAGCCATGTGATTTATTGGAAGGGATAAATGCTCAAAAAGATTTCTTAAACTGTATGATGGGTTTAGAGTGTAGATTTTGATCAAGGAAGCTGACAAATTCTAATCAGTAAGATTCATTAAAATTAAAGCAAGTATTCAAGTGAAGGGGGTTGAACCTAGGCTTTTGACCTTCTCTAAATAGACGTTTAGAGCTTGATTTTACTTTGTTTTAGGATCACAGAGCAAATGAAGCATATCTAATCTTTTAGTTGAAAAGCTTTTATTCCAAAAGGATAATACTTGGATCTTTGAGTTAGCTTCCTAAGCTAAAATGAAATTGTATTACTTAAAGCCTACATATAAAGTCAAAATTATTTAATGAGGCATTATAAGCCCTTTGTGATATAGTCCCTGCCTCATTTTATTTTTCCCCAGGACCTTTATACCTGTGGTTTGCAGACATTTGTAAGCAAACCTCTTGAGAATTTTCTAAAACTCTATGTTTCTAAATTGACATCTAAAAGTTTTCATCATAAATTAGAATAGTTTTGTCTTTAGGCAGACTAGGTTTAGAAAAGAGAACATAAGAAAATTGATTCCTTCAAAATCATTCATGGCTGTATACTTGAGAAATATTTTTACAGATGCCCGAATCTAAAGATCACTGTTCTACACTGTAGCTGTTACTACTTGTTTGCATCATTGAATGTGCTAAGTGTTTTCTTGGCTCTGTGACTTACAGGTGGTATGTCCTTTGCCTGCATATTCCATTTCCCTCTCACATTTGACAAACCTGTCTTCCCTGTCTTTCAGTACTCAGTTCTATGTTAGCTTTTCTCTGAAGAAGTCACCTGTCCCCTAGTTCCTTAATGGTTAGGTACACCCTAATCTTCTACCAGGAGTTCTGGTAGCATAGTGGCTAAGGCACTTGACTGCTAACTAGAAGGCTGGCGGTTCAAACCCACCAGCCACTCCTCGGAAGGAAGGTTGGGCAATCCCACTTCCGTAGTGATACTGCCTCGGAAACCCAAGGAGGGGTCGCTATGAGTCAGGGCTGACTCAACGGCACATAACAACAACAACAATCTTGTACCAAATACTTCTAACATTATGATTATTTGTTTACATGTCTGTTTTTTCCATTATATTGTGAAGCACATAGGAGCAAGTCTGTTTTTTTCATTACTAATGCCTAGCCACTGTTTGGCTACAAAGTAGATCTAAACCAAATCAAAACCAGACTCACTGCTATTGAGTCAATTCTGACTCATAGTGATCCCCTTTGTGTTTCTAAAGCAGTAAATCTTTATGGAAGTAGATTGCCCAGTCTTCTTCCCACAGAGTGCTGATAGGTTTGAACCGCCAGCCTTTTGGTTAGCAGTCACATACCTTAGGCACTACGCCACCAGAGTAGGTCTAGCCTGGTAAATTAACTTTAAGTAGTAGCATGTTCTATTCTTGGTTTACATTTTTACCCTTTTCTGTTTTCACTTTTGCTAAGTATCAAATCTAAGTAAACTTAAAATTCTGGAAACAAACAATAAAATTCTTTTTAAGTATTAAGGAAATCATTGCTCCATATTAAGGAAATCATTGCTCCGTATATTTTGTCAGAGTGCTTTGAAGAATTGATTTTTGGAATCTAGTAGACTATGCCCTGAAAGATTATTTTAGAAAAATAGCATAGAGTGACTGATATTTAGATTGTGAAAATTGTGTTTTAGAGAAGACATGGCCTCAGTCCACCCCTGTACATTTACCAGTTTCATCTTAATTTTGTTTTTAAGGGATGGCATGCATGTAGCAGTGAAAATTGTAAAAAATGTTGGTCGATACCGTGAAGCAGCTCGTTCAGAAATTCAAGTATTGGAGCATTTAAATAGTACTGATCCCAATAGTATCTTGTAAGTGTAAACTTGCACTATAAGCCATTATATTATTACATAATATAATCAGAATTCTGTTTACCGAATTGTTTTTATTTTGATGTATTTTAGCCGATGTGTCCAGATGCTGGAATGGTTTGATCATCATGGACATGTTTGTATTGTGTTTGAATTGCTGGGACTTAGTACCTATGATTTCATTAAAGAAAACAGCTTTCTGCCATTTCAGATTGACCACATCAGGCAGATGGCATACCAGATCTGCCAGTCAATAAATTGTAAGTATATTTGATAAATCTTACCACAAAATTTAAATTTTTATTTTATGAGTAATATATCAACACACTGTCACTGAAAAATGCACATACTATAGGTAAAGGTGAAACCCTTCTCTGTATCTACTCCTAAGCCCTTTCCCCCAGTATAAATTTAATTTGTCAGTGAAACTAATAGTTCTTTTTGTTCTTTTGTAGTTTTGCATCATAATAAATTAACCCATACAGATCTGAAGCCTGAAAATATTTTATTTGTGAAGTCTGACTATGTAGTCAAATATAATTCTAAAATGGTAAGTTAAAGATTTGTTCTGATTTTGGTGGCTGTCTTTAAAATTAATTTAAATTTAAAATTAATTTAGCTTGATGATCCTTGAAGGAAGAATTTCATTTCTGAGGCTCATTGTATACTGATGTTTAAATGAAAAAAGGTAATCCCACTTTGCCTTTCTAATGGGGTTGTGGCAAAAATTAAAAAGCTAATCCATGTGCTAACTTTTTGAATAGTGTATAAAATTTATTTCATGTCTTTATTATTTTCATGTTTACTCAACTATATCTCTAGAAACGTGATGAACGCACACTGAAAAACACAGATATCAAAGTTGTTGACTTTGGAAGTGCAACATACGATGATGAACATCATAGTACTTTGGTGTCTACACGACATTATAGAGCTCCAGAGGTCATCTTGGGTCAGTAGAACGAGATTTCCTGATTCTGTAATTGAAGAAGTTGTGTTTGGTCTGTGCATCTTTAAAGGGGCTAGATGTGTGGAGATTTTCTTAACGTTGTACAGAAAATATTTTCTATTTTCATAAAGGCTGTATGGTTATTTGCGATAAATAATAGTTTTCCTGAGTGGGAAAAATGTAATACCATTGGTGAAAAAATATTCTGGGTGGTGGGTATTAATCTTAGGTGATAGTAAGAGAACAGGCTTTGTTGGCTAACTGCATTATGTTGTTGTTGTTACATGCCATTGAGTCAGATCCAACTCATAGTGACCCCCCCCCCTTGGGTTTCCAAGGCTGTATCACTACAGAAGTAGATTGCCCAACCTTTCTTCTGAGGAGTGGCTGGTGGGTTTGAACTGCCAGCCTTTTGGTTAGCAGTCAAGTGTCTTAGGCACTACGCCGCCAGAGCTAAAGTACGTTACAGCAGTGTGATTTTGAAGTGATTTGGGTACCTGTTGTGTGTGTCATCACAAAGGTACAGTGCTGACCAAGTTGTTTGCTACAGGGTAAATGTAGGTTAACAGGAGAAGAACAAGGGGTTCATCTAAAAGGAGCACTTCTTTGGTGACTCTTGAAGTGAAAGAGTCTAAAAAAGAGAAAATCAGTTAAGTTCAGAGTTTTGAGATAAGAGTGAGTGTTATGACTCAAAATTAAAAAGGTAGAACTAAGTCAGGGATGGGGTTGGGGGCCTGGAGACAGTGGGAAAGAGAGTTCAGATCAGTTGTATTGGGAGATAGTTAAATGAAAAGTATTAGCCAAATGTAAGGTTAGGTAAAACATTTTTGTGGAATCAGTTGTTTCTTTCTCCTTTTTACCTTTTTCTATTATTATTATAATTCAACAGGATGGTATTCAGAATAAGAGTAGGAAATCAAACTAATATTGTTTACCTAGAGTAAAGAAGTAAGGAAATTGAGAATATTAGGCAGCACTGACTAGTAGAACTTTCTGTGATGAAGGGAACCTTCTATATCTGCACTCTTTGATGACTTTTGAGTACTTGTGACATGGCTAGTGTGACTGAGGAACTGAATTTTCACTTAATTAGTTTAAATATAAATAGTCGTGTGACTAAGGGCTACTGTATCAGACAGTTCAGCTTTAGAGCTTGTTTTTGAAATTGGTAAGATTTCTGCTCAGTAGTAAAGCCAGAAAGGATCTGGTGAGAACTTAAGGCTACAATGAAGGCAAAAGAAAGGAGTGTAGACAAAGATGTATGGACAGAGAGGTATTTTCGGAACTTGAAATAAATTACTGTGCTATTTCAATTTTAAGATGCATGTTTCCCCCACATTTTAACATCTTTGCAATTGGGTCAAATATGTTTTTCTTCGTTAGTATTAGAACAGTGGTGGATCTTAGCAGTTAATGGCCTCTTAGCATGAGAAAGCCAGTTGCTGCCAAGTCATTCTGACTTGGGGCAACCCCCTGTGTTAACAGAGTAGAACTGCTCCATAGGGTTGTCTTGGTTGTAATCTTTACAGAAGCATATAGCCAGGCCTTTCTTTCATGGTGCCACGGGGTGGGCTTTAACCACTGAGTGCAAACCATTCAGGCAATTCCAAGTGTGGCCAGGCTAGGCATTGTTGATATAAATCCAAAATTGGAGTTACTGTCCTTGAGGAAAAGGGATCATGGGAGTGAGATGTTCGTAGAGTCCTTTGTGGAATGTTCCTGAGGACTAAGGCAGGATCAGGTTGGAAAGGAAGATGCAGTCAGGTGCTACAGTGTCTTAGATGTTGGTAGTAAACCGACTAGATTGGAAGAGGGCAGTAGAATTCCAAAGAACATGATAGCAAAATGAGTGCTGACTCCTCAGAGAACTGGATGATTCAAAGTAGTGTGCTAAAGAAGGTTATAGTAATCTGAGGGAAAGCTGGACTAGCAGAAAAAAGTAGTTGGAAAAGAAAAATGTTATCTGGGTTCCACCTTCATTTGCAGACTTTGTTATGTACTGCTGTAAGTAGAAATCATGTTCTATCACTATCCATAAGTTCCAATGATAAGTAATTGAGGGTTTAAAAAAAAAATTATCATTGTCACAACCCTTGAATATATAGGAATACTTTATTGTGTTTTGCAAATAATTGTCCGCCTCCCCCAGAAATTAAAGGTTTGTGGCAACCCTCTGTCAGATAAGTCTGTTGGCACCATTTTTTCAACAGCATGTGCTCTCTTTGTGTCACATTTTGGTAATTCTCACACTATTTTAAACTTTTTGATAATGTATTGCACACTTAATAGACTACAGTATAGTGTAAACATAACTTTTATATGTAATGGGAAACCAAAAAATTCATGTGATTCCCTTTATTGCAATACCCGCTTTATTGTGTTGGTCTGGAACCAAACCGCAATATCTCTGAGATATGCCTGTATTGTTTATTCCTTTACCTTTAGAGTCATCAGTGTTACTGAAAGTAATAGAAATATCTTTTTTAAGTAGGTTTTATGTATACATTATTGTTTATTTATAATTACCAAATATTTAATCTTTAGATGATTGAAAGTTTCTGAAGAAGAAAATATACATGATCATGCCTAAACAACCTGAAGTACATCTATAGATCCCTCTCTGAACTCATATGGCTTTGTGATTTGTGCTTGTAGGTGAAGCTGCGTATATTCTTACATAATTTGTTAGACGGCAGTATTTCTTTTAATGAAATGAGTAAACTCAGGCATCAAGTTGGTGATAATTAATTCTGAGAATAATTATAAACCTATATTTGCACTAATGTAAAAATTCCTAAAGCAACCATGAGTTGGGATAACAGTTTCAACCATAATACTGTCCATTTCACAAGTAGTTCAGAGACTTGGGAAGATTTGCATAAATTGGTAGCTATTCTTAGAAAGTGTTTGTGAGTCACACTTATTTTACATAAAGTGCTGCCTCCCCCAAGTTAAAATACTACTTACTGATGTAAGGTAGGGGAGCTCTGGTAGCATAGTGGCTAAGGCACTTGACTGTTAACCAGAAGGCTGGTGGTTCAAATCCACCAGCCACTCCTTGGAAGGAAGATGGGTCAATCTACTTTGGTAGTGATACTTCCTCGGAAACCCAAGGAGGGGTCGCTATGAGTCGGGTCCGACTCCACAGCACATAACAACAACAGCATAACACTGATGTAAGGACATTGACATAGTCAGTGAGCACGTACTGAATAATGTTTGGTATAAAACAGAATGTAAACCCTGAATTTACTGTACATTCTCCCCAGTAGAGTCTAAAAGGAACATCCATAAAAGGAAGGATTTTGTGTGTTGGTGGTTAAAAATTATTGCATAATAAATGCTTTGTTTTGTTTTTCAATAGCTTTAGGTTGGTCTCAGCCTTGTGACGTTTGGAGCATAGGTTGCATTCTCATTGAATATTACCTTGGCTTCACAGTCTTTCAGGTACGTATCTAGTAATTTCATGTAGTAATTCATAGGGATTTTAATTGTTAAAAGCATGTTAAAGTTTTGGATTCTATATTAAAAAGTTGTCACACTGTCAGGACTCTTGAGATGAAAATTTGAATATGCAAAATGGTTAATAATACTACAGTTGGATGAGGGACTATGGTTAGTGAGTGGTCATGGTACATTTTTCATGTGATTGGAGCTTTTAATACGTGGTTCAGGTATGGTTCATGTTAGCTTGTTTCCTGTTTTATTACAAATGGCCTTCAGAAACTTGTATTAGCATCAATGTGATTGATTTTAATTAGGTTCTGATTATATTGACTATCAGTATGGCCATGATCGAGGCACTCCTTTTTATAAAGGAATTTAGGAATATGTTGTGTTTTATTCTAAGTACTAAGCACCTAATGTCCTAGGCACATTCTTGGGGACTAAGATGAAAAGATATCTCTGTCCTCAAGGAAAACATGCAAAAGAGAACCAGGGAAAACTATTAAGAGTGCAGTGTAGTATTTGCTATAATGGAACAGTATAGAAAGTGTAGTGGGAACGCAGCAAAGGGTAACAATTAAATTTCCCTAGAGAAGGCATCACTGAGGAGCCCTGGTGACACACTGGTTAAGCACCCAGTTATCCAAAAGGTCAGTGGTTCAAGCATACCAGCCACTCAGTGGGAGAAAGATGTGGCGGTCTGCTTCCTTAATGATTTACTGCCTTGGAAACCCTATTGGGGAGGTAGGAGGCAGTTATCCTCTGTCCTATAGGGTCACTCTGAGTCAGAATCAACTTGACATCAGTGGGTTTGGCTTTGGCTTACAGAGAAGACATTACTGAGGAGATAGTGAGTTTAAGATAAGACTAAAAGGAAGGGTAGGATTTTGTCACAAAAGTGGTTGATGTGGTGGCCATCCCAGGAAGAAGTATTACTCATAAATGTGTAGTGGAGTAAAGGAACATACTCTAGTCAGGGAAGAATAAATACTGTCATCAGAATGTCATGTAAGTGGAAGGATGATGGTTGATAAAGGACATGTGTACCTGTAAGTCACTGGTTTCCAAATGTAGACTGTTCCAAAATGAAAGTGACATTGTAGGGTTCCTGTCCTACCCTTTGTTTAGAGATTGCCTTTCCTGCTTTCTTAGTTTTAAAAAGTGCCTTTTATAAAACTATAGTAATAGTTGAGGGATCACCTTTCTTTGAAATGTGTACAAATATGGATCACTTCCAGTCAGTTGGCCAGGTAGCTGTCTTCCAAATCTCTTGGCATAACTGAGTGAGTGTCTCCAATGGGGCATCCATTTGTTGAAATATCTCAATGGGTATTTCGTCAATTCCCGGAGCCCTGTTCTTCGCCAGTTCTTTCATTGCAGCTTTGACTTCCTCCTTC